CTTTTGTATTTATTTGTACAACAGGTTAAGCAGGACAAATCTGGTAAAGCAGAGAGGTAGCCCTAGGATGCCAAGAGCATTTTTCTCGCATGGATTCAGACTTTCCTCTTAAGAGGTTTATCCTATAAAAAGCAAAATGTTATATCACTACCTCCCAACACCTGGAGTACATTCAATGGACAACACTTATTACATTGCCTGTCGTTTGCAGCTGTACCTTCACACAATACTTTGTACTGCTGTGTTTCTCTGACTCAGCAAAATGCTTAGATGTAAGGTTCCCACCTGCGTGGTTCTGGTACCCGTTCTGACCGACATTTTCTCTTGTAAATCGACCTATGGATACCGTACATCGAAATGGCTTGCATTGAGCGATAGCCCTGGTTCTCACCGACACAGTAGTATTTTTTGGGCTGGGAGGTCCCTCCTCCCTCCTACCATTTCATTCGCTCTTCCGACTATCCATCAACTCCTGGCTGAACCCTACATCACAGCCACCGACAAATTACATGCCTGCAATCCTTATATCGTAGCGCAGCAGGAGAGAGTGGTTTAATCATGGTAGCACATTTAGAGATCGATTTATAGCCATTCATTTGAAATAAATCAGATTTTAAACAGAAAACACGTTCTGTTTGTCATAGATGGACAAGATCAATATTAGATGAAAGGCGAGTTCCTAACGAGTTCAGGAAGCCAAGCTAGAGCTCTGTGAGACATTAACTCTGTGAGACGTTTTGATCAAGAGAGATCTTTAGAAAATATTCACATTTTCTCTAACAATAAACATACAAATATGTATTTTACAGTTATAAGGAAGGTGAAATATTATAGTTATTCGTTTTATAATTTGATTATGCTATATTTAGAAAGCATTTGTAATTTCAATCCTTATTCATACAGTTTTATTGAATAGGAAATACATCATATAAAATATTTCATTTTCATATTTGTATCATATTTGTACTGTGTACTTGAGCTTGTGTCCTCAAAAGTGACTACACCTCAGCAATTTATAACTATTTTTTACCAGAAAGGTGACATTTTAACCTTTCTTTGAGTATGCTTCATTACTAGTTATTGTTTATGGCCCTTAAGATAAATAATTACTTTTGGGGATTATGTAGATTACATTTTCGATTACATTTAACTGAGACATGGGTTTACACCAGTGGTCACTAACTGGTCAATGGACTGGTCGATCTCCAAGGCATTCCTAGTCGATCACCAAACTTTTCTGTAAAAAACCCAACGATAAAGCCTTGCATTCCTATTTTTTGTATTCCTTTCACGCTGTTGGCGGTAGGTGAGGTGCACTTGATTCAGCAGCCCAGAGAGCAAATCATGTGCATCTATAGGCCTACTGCTGGCCAATCAGATCGCTCAGATCACCTTTTCTGCAGTGCAAAGTTTTTTGGTGCCATAGATTGTAAAAAGAAACCTTGAAGCAAAGTTGATACTGTGAAATTTCAAAACTTTTAAAACCATGACTAGAGAGGGACTCAACAAATAAAGCAAAAAATATGCTGTTTTTATGAGTAAGTTCATGTTTAAGTTGTTATTCAGCACTGTCAACACTTTGCTCAACATTTTTATAAAGGGAATGGAAAGGGAAAGGGGATACCTATTCAGTTGCACAACTGAATGCATTCAACTGAAATGTGTCTTCCACATTTAACCCAACCCCTCTGAATCAGAGAGGTGCGGAGGGCTACCTTAATCGACATCCACGTCTTCGGCAAGCCATAAAATGTGCGTTCTCCCTACGTCCACTCACCCTACAACCAGCACTGCAACTGCAATGAAGGAGTATAGCAAAGTGTTCCGATAAATTTGCGTTATTATTAGCAGCTTGTGTATTTTTTGATATCAAGGAATATTTCACTTTATCTGGACATCGGATTAACAACATTAATTTGTGGATGAGGCAGAAATATTGCAGTGCTACTTGAGTTTCGCCATCAGCTGGAAGACTGTGTCCCCTTTTCTCAGCGGAGGGAGGGAGATCGGAGTGACGGTAGCCTCACCACTGCTCTCTCCCCCCCTCAGACTGACTGTCAGATGCAGGCCATCAGTCCAATAAACAAAAAAGTAAATAATTATACTCACTCAGCTGTGCCTCACAAGTAATATAACTATCTATTATCAGTGTGATCATATACCTACAATTCAAGCATAGCCAATATGCATGCAGTGATAATGTTTTGGGCCTATAGCCTACTGCACAAACCTCATTGCTACAGAACTGTTTTTAATTGGTTCATGTTGCAAAGGCTTATGTTTTTTAAAGTCATGTTTTTAAAAAATTTGAGCGGTCGATCTCCGCTTGCATTTTGACTCAAAGCAATCTGACTCAGAAGAGGTTGGTGACCACCACTGGTCTACACAATGTCACCAAATGTTCAGCTGGAATGGATGCTGGCTCTAACAGGAATTTACTATGAGGTCCGCCATACCCTGCTGAGTGTGAAACACACCCAGACAGAGGCAGCCATGCCTATGTGTGCACTAGGTAGCTGCATCGCAGTGCTAACTGTGCCACTAGAGATCCTGGTTCGAATCCAGGCTCTGTCGCAGCCGGCCGCGACCGGGAGACTCATGGGCGGCGCACAATTGGCCCAGCGTCGTCCAGGGTAGGGGAGGGAATGGCCGGCAGGGATGTAGCTCAGTTGATAGAGCATGGCGTTTGCAACGCCAGGGTTGTGGGTTCGATTCCCACGGGGGGCCAGTATAAAAAAATATGTATTCACTAACTGTAAGTCGCTCTGGATAAGAGCGTCTGCTAAATGACTAAAATGTAAATGTAAATGTCTGTATACACATGCCAGGGAGCCCTGCCCACTGCCACATTAGCTGCTATTCACTACTCTTGGTCTTTCACTGCCTACATCCAATTTGAAAGTGCCGGAACCCTACTGTTTGACAAAGCTAGAACTATATGTCATCATCAATGGATTTTAGCAACAAAGCAGGTGTCAATCTAGTCTGGGTACCATTCTTTTTAACTAATAATCCACTCCTTGCCACTCCTGTCATTTACCTCATAGATGTGACTTCTGTTTTGGAAATGGAACACTCAACGATTAATGGTGATTGTATACCTTGCCTTTCATCTGTTTCATGTGTGTTGAGTTGCATTTACTATGCATATCTCACCTATAAGACATAGCTTCTAACTACTATGTCCTGGAAGAGGTCCATGCAACAACAAAAGATAGTGAAAATATGCTGACACCTATTTTCCAGAGAAGTAGTAAAACTCCAGAAACCCCCTCCTTCCCTTAGTACCTCACTACAGGAAATATTTTCTCACCAGAAGAATGCCAGAGCTGCAGTCAGTCTCCTCCTTCAACCTTTCCCAAGCCCTCTTGCTTCCTTCATTCCTTCAAGTGTGCGTACTGTTTTCAAGAGTAGGCCTTGATTCATGGCGGTTCCTTATGAAGTCCTAAGGATGATTCAATGGATCTTTACAAGCTAGCCCACACAAAGCAGTAACCATATCTTACAAAGATAACATTCTCACTCCACACAGGAATCATTGTTCATTTAAATCAACAAGATGATTCATTTGAGATAAACAACAATTGAATAAATTGAATAATAAGTGATTCACTTGTCAAGATTGTATATTATGGTGAGTATTTCAAGTGATGTCATCAGGCCATCTGATATGGTAGTTAGAGAAACAATAGGGATACATTGCTCATGAAGTGTATCTATTGAGGTCTAAAAATTATACTGTACATTGTAATCTGTTTGATAACGTTACAAAGTTCCCCCTGCTTTTCCATTGGAAGCTGCCCTCCGTCACGTCCCGTCATTTCCGGAGAGGAAAAAACACTGCACATCCAATGGATTAATGCATTTCAACGACTCAAAACCGATTTGATGATCAAAACGGATATTCGTAACGCTTGTTTTTTTTTTTTTAGGTGCCAGGCTATATATTTGCGTCGGTGTCAACAAATGACTGTCCTCTTAGAATTGGTTTTTCCAGGTCAGAATATCTAAACTAGCTAGCTACCCAATGCTAGCTGCTTAGCTGATATATTTATGTGACCTAGCTAGCTGGCTACTTAGCGATACAAAATGTTTAGGAAATTAAGCTTTGGTTTGGTTTCTGTGGTTCAAAATAATATTGTATTTGTGTGTCGTCATTTTTAGCATTGTAGGGATGTGTTGACTTATTCCGTTGCCGTTTAAACCCGTTTTTATAGGCACGACTTTACACTTTGTATCCTTTGGCTGTAGGCTAGCTAGCTTACTAGCTAGTCGAAGGTCAATATTGTTGATGCCAGCTACAGCTGACTACAGTGGGATACTTCTCAACAAACCGTTAGGTTATGCGCAATGAGATGTAAAGCTACTGTTAGGCTATGCGTAATGAGATGTAAACAGAGTGGGTGCTTCAGCTATCCAGATCCACAGTTGCTCATTAGTTAGCTAGCTAGTCATTAGCTAACTGGAAAAGTAGCCATACCCAGTGTTGGCTGAAGTTACTCGATTCTCTCCAACATTAACAATGATCAAGTCGATCACCACGAAAACACCTCAATAACAACAGCCAATACTTGGAAATATGGATTTCATGTGGACTTCAGCCATACTACAAAATCCCCTGATTCTACTTTCAAAATAACCGTTTCAGACAACTGTCTTACTTTTAGATTTTTGCTGACAGGACAACTTTCATGTTTTGTTTTGGAGAGTAGGAATTGACTTTGGATCTCTGGTAGATTTTTGCATGTGTTATAGTTTATTTTCTGCAAAGAATATCCTCTCAGCCTAATAAGAGGTAGGTGTAACTCTTTTTTCTTTAACATAAGATATGTTAGTTTTAGTATTGTTAGTTAGAAATGATGACAACTACATAGTCTTTTTCTGAACAATTTTAACAGTAGTGTAATTGTAAATACAACTTTGGATATCACATTTTGTTATACTCCTTTGTTCTGAAATCCGATCAACATACAATGTTGTCTTTGCCCCCACAGTGGACGATGAATGGCCTATCGGTCAGTGAGCTATGCTGCCTGTTCTGCTGCCCTCCCTGTCCGAGCCGTATTGCCGCCAAGCTTGCCTTCCTGCCTCCTGAGCCTACATATTCCCTCTTGCCGGACCTCGATGGGTATGTGGCCCCAGGGACAGCAGGGTCAGCGGGGCTGAGATCGAGGGGAGGGGTACCTGGAGCGGCTGTAGGGGGTTCAGGCAGCACTGGTCCTGCAGAGGGTAAATGGAAGCTCCACCTGACAGAGCGAGCTGAGTTTCAGTACTCCCAGAGAGAGCTGGATGCTACAGAGGTGTTCCTCACCCGCTCCAGCCGTGGCAACCGGGTGGGCTGTATGTACATCCGCTGTGCCCCCACTGCCAGGTTAGTCGCGCAGAACTGTGTGTGTGCACGTGCGTGTACCTTGGCTCATTTAGGTCATTTTGTCTGACTGTGTGTCACGCTTCCTCTGATAAACTCCTTCCCCTTTTAGTCTTGTCTTCTTTTTGTAATGCCATTATTTTTGTGTGTCCTATTTCCTTACTTCCTGTACTTGCATCCTCATTGGCAATCTCAAATCTGTTCTGTTTCCTCATTCATTGTTTAGGCCATCTCTTTTGACCTACGTTTACCATTCTACTTATTCTTACCCCAATTTATGCTCACATTTTTGCCTGTGGTCTTGTAAGATAGTCTGATTTGTCTATTGGTCTTTGATCGTCTGGTTTGCTGAGTTTATACCTCAGTATGTCTTCATATTGTATGGCTTCAGGTAGCCAACTTGTTTCTCTTGTTGGTGTTCAGTAATCAACTAAATTGATTTGAGAAGACATGGACTGGGTCTTGTTACACTTGAGTAGTGCCAGTGTAACACATGAATGCAATGTAATATGGCAATCCTTGTTCAGGGTCACATTTTGACCAAAACGCCCAAGAGCAAAGATATGACTTACTGTATGGGAGAGGCCCAGTCTATTGAAAGAATAGAGAGGATCCAGTCGCTTTAGGGAGCACAGCTCACATTCATGAATATAAAGCACATGGATTGTGCCTGGGGTATAGCAACCCTATTATTAATGTAGTACAGAACAAGCAAAAAGACCTGATTCAAACTTAGTGAACTAGTCCTCTCTTGAGTCTGTGGCCATAACCAATTGACCTTATACTGCACATTCATGTCCCATGCAAAGAGGTAATTCCTGAGGTTTCAATGGAAATCTGCTATTCACACAGTACAGGTCAGTATAGGTAAAAATACCAGGTAGAGTCCATAGCCGCAGGAAATAGGAGTGTTGGAGGTGCTGCAGCGCCCTCTGATAAATGTAAATACATTTGTTAAAATTATATAGCCTAATTACTCCTATCTGTAGCCTACAGACGTCAATAAAATCATTCAAAATACCAGAGAGTCGCAGTTTGGGCAGCGAGTGCCAACTGCTTGTTGCTTTGCGGCCATAGAAATATAATCTATAGAATGGCTTTGGAATCTCTAAGCCTGGCAATCTGACTGGTAAACTCATGGGTACACTCACAATGGCTGCCAGTCCTGACTTGAATGGGAACCTCTGTTCTATGGATTATATTATTATGGTTGTGGCTGTAAGTGAACAGCTATAATCTGCCTTTTACACATTTCAAAATACAATCGTGGGAAAAACATAGTTTATAAAGCAAATGCATACTGCTGAAAATAGCAGACTAATCTGTCTGTAGAAGCGACCAAATGTTTTCTCAACAACTCTACATTTTGAGCGAACATCACTTTAGATATTGGCATAGGAGCATTGGCCATCACCGGTGAGTAGCCTATGCATATTCATGCTATCTTCATCATTGGGTGAGTCAGTGCCACTGGATAGTTTATTTAGTAGCCTATTTATATTTCATCCTAATATTGTTCAATCTGCGTGTCTCCCCTCTTTTCATTGGCCTGGGCTTCTGGTTGCACCCCCAACTCAAAACATCTTCCCGCGGCTATGGTAGAGTCCATCTTTTTAACCTAGTCGTTGCTCTGTGGCTTCTCTCACCAGGTTCACAGTGCTGTTCTCCCATGGCAACGCGGTGGACCTGGGCCAGATGAGCAGCTTCTATATCGGCCTGGGAACGCGCATCAACTGCAACATCTTCTCCTACGACTACTCCGGCTACGGCGTCAGCACGGGCAAGCCTTCCGAGAAGAACCTCTACGCTGACGTTGAAGCTGCCTGGCAGGCCCTGCGCACACGGTACGTACGGCACTGCCGCAACGCAGTCAGTGTGGGAGATGTCACCTTACAGAGAGAGGAGGGGTGGTGTGGGTGGGGTCATTTCACACAAGGAAAGGCTAATGGACTGTTTCATTAGTTTGATGGGATGCTGTGCTATCAATGGCTGCCCTGGGATGGATGGATGTTAGAGTTATGGAGCTACAGCTATAGGATTAGTTTTTATGTTAGACGTGCCATGTTCGCAGACATTTGTTACCCGTCAACTCCTAGATCTATGTGATAAAAGTATGTATTATCATTCCATATTATCATAGTTTAGGAGCTTCATAGGAGTGATTTCTATTCAAATTGTTTTAGTGTTTGCCACTACAAGCTTTTCCCTGACATGATTGTGTTTTATTCCACTCTCTCCCTGGTTGTGATCAGGTATGGCATCAGCCCAGAGAACATAATCCTGTACGGGCAGAGCATTGGCACCGTTCCCACGGTCGACCTGGCATCACGGTATGAGTGTGCCGCCGTGGTGCTCCACTCCCCCCTCACTTCTGGCATGCGGGTGGCCTTCCCAGACACGAAGAAGACCTACTGCTTTGATGCTTTTCCCAAGTGAGTAACCTACAACACCTTCCTCTTATCACCTTATCTTCATCTTCACATAATTGCAGATTTAACAAGATTAGCAGATAATTGCAGAACTGGAAATGTCAGTGGCAAAATATTTCTGTCCATCTAAAAGAAGAAGAGCTGCAATCTCTTTCATAGCTTCCATGTATTTTATTATTCAGTCTCTCTCCTTCTCGCTCCTCCTCCCCCTCCCTGGGGAATCAGCCTTAGCACATATGAGTCATAACTGAGTCATCTCTCACTCTGCATCAGATCATAAGCAGGTGTCAGAAACACTGACTCCTCCAGTCATTTATCATATCATCGCCCATTATTATGTAAAGTGTGGTATTTGAACCATTAGGATCACATGCTGGTTCACTGAATAGGATTCCATTACAGTCCAGTTCCAGTACCAGGCAGTGCCAGTGTAGGAGTAGAGTAGGTGGTGGGGAGGGGGCTGGGGATGCCTCTTGTCTGTGGTGAAAGCCTCCAGTGTTCTCCTCCACCCCCCTGAGCTCTCCCACCCCTAGGCCCCTGTTGCCCAGTTGGCACTCCCCAGCCCACACTACACTCGGCTCCCATACTCAATACTCCATCTAGTCAGAGTGGACTCCCAGTGATGTGATACTAGCTTAGTTCAGATCTGTATTTGCAGTTATGGACTAGCAGATGGAGCTGAGCTGATTTGGGAAATGCATTTACATGCAGCAGGATTGTGTTCTCATTATTATCCCCTTCCTGTCCTGTTTGTCCCTCTACCTGCTAGACAACAGTTGCTGCTCACTGCTCACAGCTGCAGGGCATTTTGCACTAACTGGCCATGCTAGAACAGACTGTACAACGCTTTCTATCCACGGTTACCCTTGAAGAACATACTTGCCCATTAGTTATAACAATGTTGTTACATAATTCCTATCGTACATTGCCATCTAGAGACTACCTTTGCTTCCTTTATCCCCAGTCACTAACTCCTTTGTCCATTGTCTCTCTGTCAGCATTGAGAAGGTGTCTAAGATCACGTCACCGGTGCTGATCATCCACGGGACGGAGGACGAGGTGATCGACTTCTCCCACGGCCTGGCTCTGTTCGAGCGCTGTCCCAAGGCCGTGGAGCCACTCTGGGTGGAGGGGGCGGGACACAACGACATTGAACTGTACAGCCAGTACCTGGAGCGCCTGCGCCGCTTCATTGGCCAGGAGCTGGCCGCACAGCACGCCTGAACCCCCCCCCCCCACACCACCTCCAGGCTCCAACTCTCCTCTGGCTCCCAACTGTTCCCCTGGGTCTAAGTGGGTCAGTAGGAATGGATGGCTCTGTCTGGTTGGAGGGGTGAATCCTGGGCTCTCAGAATGAATGATCCTTCAGCTTTTGGGGCAACTTTGTCTGGATGCTCGCAGCCCTGTCTTTTAGCTGTTTTCCTCTTTTTCTGTCTCTGTCACCTGTCATTTATCCTGGTCAGGGAATCTAGTCCACCTCCCTTCCTCGGACAGTGAAAGAATGCAACCCAGGCATGGAGGGTTCTCTACCTTCTGTCTGTTGGTCTGTCTAAAGCCTCTCTCTACCCCAGGCTAAAACAACCTCAGACAGGTCAGGTGTTCCAAACACATGTACTGTTTAACCTCTTCTGAGACGTTTACACATGATTCCATTTTAACTAACAACCCTAACATGGGCAAATCATCGAGTGATGGAAGTCTGTTTTGAGCACTGACATTTTGGCATTTAATTTGGATGGGGGAATAATGTTCGTTTTTCTCCTTTTTAACACAACGATGACACTGAGCCACTACTTTACAAATCCTGTGGTGTTGACATATGAGTATAACTGCGTCCTGTTTGAATGCAGGTTTGTTGCTAATGTTTCGTGTGGAATCTTTTAATTTCTTTGCTCTCTCTCTCTCTCTCTCTCTCTCTCTCTCTCTCTCTCTCTCTCTCTCTCTCTCTCTCTCTCTCTCTCTCACTCCCTCTCTCTCTGTCTCATTTACAATTAAGCTGTCAGACTAATAGTCCATGTCTATGAATAATTTGTTTCATAGACATAAATCTTACGTCTTTATGATTATTAAGCAGGATTTATTTGAATATAAAAAGTGATTTGAGCAAAATATTTTTTTTTTTTTTTGAAGTTGCTGAACATTGCTTTGGCTAAAGTCCAAAATCTCTCTGCCAAATTAATTGTTTCAAAAGCATCGTTAAGTCGCTAACATCTCTCTAAGGCATAACCACTCTCATGTTTCACTCCCTGATCCATATTCTACAGTAGTTGTACTGCAATGGATGTTATGGACATGTGAGTTTACCTTTGGAACACAAACTAAGTCCTGCCACATTCTCTGAGTTAAGGAGGCATTAGTTGGTCTTTACTTACACTGAACTCAATGCACCTCTTACTGGGTTTCTATATGAGATGTTTTCTAAAGGCTTTTAAAAATCTTTGTAAGTGATTTACAGAGTTGTACATATTCAATTTCACTTTAGTTATTTAATCCCTCCAAAAACACAGTCATTGTAAATTACTAGGCTTATGCTGGTAATGGCCATTCGCATAGTAAATTGGGTCAGGTCAGTTGAGACTAAGCTGGATGGAGTATTAACTGAAGTTGCTGCTAAAGATGAGGATCAAATGGATTAAAAAGGGTCAAACCCTCCACATCCATTGTGTACATTAATGCTGCTTAGTTTGAGGAGAAATGTAACAGTCATACATGTTATTTTACGCTGTACAGTGGAATGGATCCAGTGATGTACAGTACTCTCTGCTGGTGCCATGTCATGTTGCATGTTTGATTGGTTGCTGTTTTGCTTCATTTTAGGGGTGATAACATGGAATAAGATGTGGTCTAATTTGTTATTCACTAGGTGTATTTCTAGCAGGCTCCCTTTTCAGCTCCAACTAGCCCTTTTCACTGACTTCCTACTGTTGCCACACTATTTCAGACAGACTTAGGATTCCACCATTTCTGACCGACTGTGTGAAAGTTGACTCGACCGAATGCCCAACTTCTCTGGCATACAGGGTCCACCACCACTCACAAGATAGTGGAGGTCCTTTGTTTGGGTTGGGTTTTGGGGGAGTCAGGATTACTTGTGCACAGCAACCAAATTTTAACAGTAAATGTTCTGTCTAGAACAAAATAATAAATAAATAAATAAACAAAGCATACCTGTTCTATTGGTATGTTCATCAGAACCAAAGAAAAGGTCCTTCACATCACCCATAGTACTTAGGTTTCTTGTCAGTCACCACAAACAGATAGGGAACAAAAGTTGTGCGCCCTGAATCAGCCAGGATATGCTCTTGTTCAAGCTGCTTATAGTTTGGTTTGGGACAGCTTAAGCGTGTTTACTCCCTATTACGGACGATTGTATGGAGAATACAAGCAATACAACATATTTGTGTCTGGGTGGCCTGAGATAGGAGCATGTGTGTGTGGCAGGTGATGGACTGTACTTGGAGTGTGAGAGGAGTTCCAGACAGACACATTCAGAGCTTTTGTTTAAAGAAACTAAGTTATATAAATGTATTTTTTTATGTATGTACTATACTACATTGTTTGCAGATTGTTTATTTTTTGCTGAGTGTTGGGATCCAATTGGATGATGGGGGTTGGGATGTTATTATTGTATCCAGTTATGCATTGTTTATTATTTACAACTTTGTTATATTTAGTTTAAAATATTTTTTTCCTCAACCCCCCCCCAAAAAAAACAACATCTTAGAAAATAAAATAATGAATTGATCAAATTAGCCTTCCATGTCTGTCTTGATTCCTATTATGTTTACCCCATTGGTGTAGCACAGCTCTATGTAAAGTAAAGGTTAAGTCCACTCAATACACCAGTTTCCCTTTCATCTCTGTGATTCAGCTTTGGCATGCCGTAAAGAAAGCGCAGAATGAGTGTTGGATCAGGTTTCAGAGGACTAGTCTACCAGCTGCTATACGTATAGTATAGTGGTATAGTGGGGGACCAGATTAGAGGGCATGGTATTGGGGAATGGAGAGCCCAGCAAAATAGGCTTAGCTATTATCTGTGACAAAAAGATTCAAATGATCTGTCTGTTTTATTTTTATAGTACAAGCCCTTCCAGTCTGTCCAACCTCTGTTCAAAGGCTAGGACGAAGGGTAGTGGGATGTAGCACTGCCAGATGGGTCTTAAGTACTGCTCCCCCTCCCCCAAACACACACACACACACACACTTCTCCCAACTCTTCTCAATGGGCTACATACATGAGCACACACAGTCTCTCTCACACAAATGCTCTTATCGCTTGACACAGAGATTAAGGCAGATGCAACAGCACTCCCCTTCTGCCAGGCTGCAGACAGCACAATCGGAAGTTAGAGACTGAGTGACCCACTGTAGCAGCACAATCACTTCCACTGTCACCGCCTTGCACTTATACAGTCTACATCGACCATTCATTCATCCATGTTAACTTAGACATGCAACTAGCAGGCTGCTACTAGTAATAGTACTGCTACTACTGTTGCAAATAGTAAGTGTGTCCTTTTTGCTAGACAGAGCAGCCAGAACTGTTCATACATTCTAGGAAATCTTAACAAACGTCTTCCATGAATTTATGTAGTTTTATTAAGTCCCTATAGGCTGTGTCTCAATACTTTCCTTCAATGTCACTGACACTGATGGCCGAATAGACTGGATAGGTTTCCACCATCTTGCTGCCACCTGGGATATTCTGCCAGATCAACGCTCATAGAGGAAAGGACACAAGGAAAGGATTATGGACGCAAGTTTAAATTATTGAGCCACAGCCCACCCTGTTGCAGAGCACATCAGATACACCTGTCTATATAAGGTCCCACAGTTGACAGTGCATGTCGGAGCAAAAACCAAGCCATGAGGTCGAAAGGAATTGTCCGTAGAGCTCCGAGACAGGATTGTGTCGAGGCACAGATCTGGGGAAGAGTACCAAAACATTTCTGCATGCTGTGGGGATGTTTTTCAGCGGCAGGGACTGGGACACTAGTTAGAATCAAGGCAAAGATGAACGGAGCAAAGTACAGAGAGATCCTTGATGAAAACCTGCTCCAGAGCACTCAGGACCTCAGACTGTGGCAAAGGTTCACCTTCCAACAGGACAGCGACCCTAAGCACACATCCAAGACAACGCAGGAGTGGCTTCGGGACAAGTCTCTGAATGTCCTTGAGTGGCCCAGCCAGAGCCCGGACTTGAACCCGATCTAACATCTCTGGAGAGACCTGAAAATAGCTGTGCAGCAACGCTCCCCATCCAACCTGACAGAGCTTGAGAGGATCTGCAGAGAAGAATGGGAGGAACTCCCCAAATACAGCTGTGCCAAGCTTGTAGCGTCCTATCCAAGAAGACTCAATGCTGTAATCGCTGCCAAAGGTGCTATAACAAAGTACTGAGTAAAGGGTTTGAATACTTATGTAAATGTGATATTTCCGTTTTTTATTTGTAATTTGCAAAAATTTATAAAAACCTGTTTTTGCTTTGTCATTATGGGGTATTGTGTGTAGATTGATGAGAGGGGGAAACAATTTAATCCATTTTAGAATAAGGCTGTAACGTAACAAAATGTGGAAAAAGTCAAGGGGTCTGAATACATTCCGAAGGCACTGTATATATTAAAGTGACTCGTCGTTGTCCAGGAAGTAGACTTGTAGTGTTTTAACTTTTGTAGACTTTTTGAATGGTATACAATGGGCAAAAATGTAGAGCAAAGGTCTTCAGCACAAAATGTGTATAAAAGTCAAGACCCGGAATATGACATCGTATACTGTGCCCTCCGTAATTATTGAGACAGTGACAATTTTGTTGTTTTGGCTCTACTCCAGCACTTTGGATTTGAAATGATTCAATGACTATGAGGTTAAACTGCAGACTGTCAGCTTTAATTTGGGTATTTTCATCCATATCGGGTGAACCGTTTAGAAATTACAGCACTATTTATACATAATCCCCCCATTTTAGGGGACCAAAAGTATTGGGACAAATTCACTTATGTGTATTAAAGTAGTCAAAAGTTTGGTCCCATATTCCTAGCACACAATGATTACATCAAGCTTGTGACTACAAACTTGTTGAATGCATTTGCTGTTTGTTTTGGTTGTGTTTCAGAATATTTTGTGGCCAATAGAAATGAATGGTAAATAATGTACTGTGTCATTTTGGAGTCACTTTTATTGTAAATAAGAATAGAATATGTTTCTAAACACTTCTACTTTAATGTGGATGCTACTTTATCACTCACCATCATTCAAATCAAAACCCGTAAGTGCCTTACTAGTTGAGGCAGATGAAATGCCTTTGGACATGTCGTAGAAAACTGTCACTAGCATATTGGGTAAGACAGAAAGGCTGTGAGATTGGCACTCCCACTGCTATTGTTCTATATCAGTGGTATTTGTAATTTTTTTAACCAGAATTTCTGGGGACCCCATTTTTTCCTCAACAATATCTCGCAACCCCGACACAACCTTAAAATCGGTACATTTCAATAAATAACCTTAAATTCATTACATTTTCAAAATGAAAAGAAACCAATAAATACACTTCCTCAATACAATTTTATTTTTCAATTATCTTTCTCAAAAACAATTGCATATTGTCCCATACAATAATCTGTACTCGTATTTCTTTTTTTGACAATCCCACTGCAGTTCCCCATTGGCACCAACTTTGAATACCACTGTTCTAGACAAACGTTAGGAGTATGCTAGTAGACAAGGCAGTGGATTTGGTTGGATAGTTGAAAAGCTTGCTGAGGAGAGTGGAATGAGGGAGTTGGAGGTTGGGCCTTCTGTGGTTATATGGGATGTCCCTCTGTGTATACTCCTGGCACCTGTTTTTATTTAACCTTGGTGGAAAAGAGAAAATATTGGTCAGAAATCAGTCATATAGGGTAACTGGTTGAAAATTACATTAGTAGAAGATTATATGCTTATTTACCAGTTTTTACAGATGGTTCCAATGATCCTGATAGTGGACACAGGAGTAGGAGTTTACATTCCTGAATTTTATGTGCAGATATGTAGAAGACTAACAGATGGACTGTCTGTACACTCTGCTGAACTGTTGGCAATGGTAGTGGCTCTCTAGTGGGTGGAGGATGCTCAACCTATTAGAAATGTATTTTGCTCAGATTCTTTGTCTGTACTGTGTAGTTTATCCTCTTGTAACTCTAATAGAAGTAATCTACTATTGGAGGAATTAACTCTATTATGGAGAATTGAGAGACTGGGTGTAGTAGTGCATTTCTACTGGGTCCCAGGCCATTCTGGTGTGGGAGGAAATTAAATTGCAGACCAAGTAGCCAAGACAGCTTTAAAACAAGATACAATTTATATTCGTGCCCCATTGGGTAGAGGTGAGGCCAAATGTAAGATCAGAGCCATTTTGATAGACGTGGCAGAAGAGGTGGAACTCTGAGCCCAAGGGTCGGCAGTTACAGTGCATTTTGAAAGTATTCAGACCCCTTGACTTTTTCCACATTTTGTTACATTACAGCCTTATTCTAAAATGGATGAAATAAAAAAAATGTCCTCATCAATCTACACACAATACACCATAATGACAAAGCGAAAACAGGTTTGAACTCTTTTTCCTGAATGCCAAGCGTCACGTCTGGAGGAAACCTAGCACCATCCCCACGGTGAAGCATGGTGGTGGCAGCATCATGCTGTGGGGATGTTTTTCAGCGGCAGGGACTGGGAGACTAGTCAGGACCGAGGGAAAGATGAACAGAGCAAAGTACAGAGAGATCCTTGATGAAAACCTCCTCCAGAGCGCTCAGGATCCCAGACTGGGGCGAAGGTTCACCTTCCAACAGGACAACGACACTAAGCACACAGCCAAGGAAGGCAGGAATGGCTTCGGGACAAGTCTCTGAATGTCCATGAGTGGCCCAGCCAAAGCCCAGACTTGAACCCGATCTAACATCTCTGCAGCGACGCTCCCCATCCAACCTGACAGAGATTGAGAGGATCTGCAGAGAAGAATGGGAGAAACTCCCCAAAAACAGGTGTGCCAAGCTTGTAGCGTCATACCCAAGAAGACTCGAGGCTGTAATCGCTGCCAAAGGTGCTTCAACAAAGTACTGAGTAAACGGTCTGAATACTTATGTAAATGTGATATTTCCGTTTTTTAATTTATTATCAATTAGAAAAAAACTGTTTTTGCTTCGTCATTATGGGGTATTTTGTGTAGATTGATGGGGGGGTAACTATTTAATCAATTTTAGAATAAGGCTGTAACGTAACAAAATGTGGAAAAAGTCAAGGGGTCTGAATACTTTCCGAATGCACCGGAGAGTCTAGTGAGTGTGCGTAGGGTCAGTGCAAGATAGAGTCAGTGCAGATAGCCAATGAATGGTACCCGGACTATTTAGCAATCTGGCTTTTTAGCAGGTCTATGGCTTGGGGGTAGAAGCTGTCTCGGAGCCTGTTGGTCCGAGAGCTGATGCTCCACTACCGTTTGCCGGACAGTAGCAGAGTGAACATTCTATGGCTTGGGTGGCTGGAGTCTGGCAATTTTTCGGGCCTTCCTCTGACAACGCCTGATAGAGGTCCTGGATGTGATGTACTGGGCTGTGCGGTCAAGGACGCTGCGTTTGCCATAGCGGTGAAGCAGCCAGTCAAGATGCTCTCGATGGTCAAGGTAATCAAGGAGAGGAAGCGAGGAAAGAGAACGTGGACGAAAATGCGCTTGTATGAAATGAGAACCCAAAGTAAATGGGTGAAGTGATAAAAACAAATGAAGTTAGTTGTGCAAGACATTTAATAGATAAAATGATAAGTAGCATATTGTTTTTAAACGTGTGCGTGCTTTTCTCCTCCAACAAAACACAATCTGATTCAAAGGGGGTGTGGCAGATTTCAAAACTCAGTTAGGATACACATGACTATCCTCGATGAAAGGTGGCTATCGAGGAGGGGAGGACACTCTTCCGTTCACCTTCTAACGAATTGTCATTTCCTCGACCACTTATCGGTCTCCAGGTCACGGAGGAGAGCGGACGGAGGAGAGAGGGTGGAGGACTGACTTTTTCCAAATGAGAAAAGGCCCATCTTCGCTGGGGACTTTCTCTCCCCTCAGGACAGGGAGGGGATCGAGCAAAGACACGTAAGTGCGCGAAACGCTGCATGCTTTTGTCTGTGCTGAACATAGAGATGGATAGAGGACTCTAGTGCCCAAAAGCCAGTTTTAGCATGGACAGCGCTATTGACGACTTTCACCATTTTAAAGTAGTCAACTTGGTTGGACTTCCAATCGGTTAAGGAAGGATCACATAATTCCATCCAGGTCACCAGGAGGGATCAGCCAATTAATTATAATGGTAAGGAAACATTCCATAAGTGCAGGTGGGAGTAAATTGCCAACCAACAAACACTAGTTTGTTTGCCAACTCATAGAAGTAGTAGAATAATAAAATGGGCTACTTCAAAATGGAGATGGCTTCAATGGCACTGCCCATGCTCTCACAGGCGCCATAATGGGACAGATACAATTATGTGACGTCTATCTAAGTCTATGGTGCTGAAAGGGTCATAGCCTTTGCTGGAATTATTGACGGGTATGGACGGTTTCAGCCTTTGACGGCCTTGGAGGAAGAGAGTAATTCTTAATTTGGAGGTACTGATACAGACATCTACATCTCATGTGGGAAAGCGGCTACACCACGATGTCCGATTCCACCAATGCAACCCTTAACATTACCCCAAATGCCAGACCGACGTCTGTATCCATAATCACACGCATATCGCCTATGCCATCTGGTGAGCAACACGAACTATCGCACTCTCCAGTTGTTACAAAGAAGCAACATGTTTATGCGTTTGATGGCTGTGTCAGGGCCAATGAGAAATTCTCTCACCTGAAGTCGCATATAAGGTCACACACAGGTACAGTGGGGGAAAAAAGTATTTAGTCAGCCACCAATTGTGCAAGTTCTCCCACTTAAAAAGATGAGAGAGGCCTGTAATTTTCATCATAGGTACACGTCAACTATGACAGACAAATTGAGATTTTTTTTTCCAGAAAATCACATTGTAGGATTTTTTATGATTTTATTTGCAAATTATGGTGTAAAATAAGTATTTGGTCACCTACAAACAAGCAAGATTTCTGGCTCTCACAGACCTGTAACTTCTTCTTTAAGAGGCTCCTCTGTCCTCCACTCGTTACCTGTATTAATGGCACCTGTTTGAACTTGTTATCAGTATAAAAGACACCTGTCCACAACCTCAAACAGTCACACTCCAAACTCCACTATGGCCAAGACCAAAGAGCTGTCAAAGGACACCAGAAACAAAATTATAGACCTGCACCAGGCTGGGAAGACTGAATCTGCAATAGGTAAGCAGCTTGGTTTGAAGAAATCAACTGTGGGAGCAATTATTAGGAAATGGAAGACATACAAGACCACTGATAATCTCCCTCGATCTGGGGCTCCACGCAAGATCTCACCCCGTGGGGTCAAAATGATCACAAGAACGGTGAGCAAAAATCCCAGAACCACACGGGGGGACCTAGTGAATGACCTGCAGAGAGCTGGGACCAAAGTAACAAAGCCTACCATCAGTAACACACTACGCCGCCAGGGACTCAAATCCTGCAGTGCCAGACGTGTCCCCCTGCTGAAGCCAGTACATGTCCAGACCCGTCTGAAGTTTGCTAGAGTGCATTTGGATGATCCAGAAGAGGATTGGGAGAATGTCATATGGTCAGATGAAACCAAAATAGAACTTTTTGGTAAAAACTCAACTCGTCGTGTTTGGAGGACAAAGAATGCTGAGTTGCATCCAAAGAACACCATACCTACTGTGAAGCATGGGGGTGGAAACATCATGCTTTGGGGCTGTTTTCCTGCAAAGGGACCAGGACGACTGATCCGTGTAAAGGAAAGAATGAATGGGGCCATGTATCGTGAGATTTTGAGTGAAAACCTCCTTCCATCAGCAAGGGCATTGAAGATGAAACGTGGCTGGGTCTTTCAGCATGACAATGATCCCAAACACACCGCCCGGGCAACGAAGGAGTGGCTTCGTAAGAAGCATTTCAAGGTCCTGGAGTGGCCTAGCCAGTCTCCAGATCTCAACCCCATAGAAAATCTTTGGAGGGAGTTGAAAGTCCGTGTTGCCCAGCGACAGCCCCAAAACATCACTGCTCTAGAGGAGATCTGCATGGAGGAATGGGCCAAAATACCAGCAACAGTGTGTGAAAACCTTGTGAAGACTTACAGAAAACGTTTGACCTGTGTCATTGCAAACAAAGGGTATATAACAAAGTATTGAGAAACTTTTGTATTGACCAAATACTTATTTTCCACCATAATTTGCAAATAAATTCATTAAAAATCCTACAATGTGATTTTCTGGATTTTTTTCCCTCATTTTGTCTGTCATAGTTGACGTGTACCTATGATGAAAATTACAGGCCTCTCTCATCTTTTTAAGTGGGAGAACTTGCATAATTGGTGGCTGACTAAATACTTTTTCCCCCACTGTATATGTGTAGCTTAGCCTCCATTCTACGTCGTCCAATGTAATGGACGACCGAGCAATAGAGGCTATGCGAAGCTTAGAAATGGTGTATGTGTGTGTGCATACAGAGTAGCAAGTACATGTTGGTTGTGAATAACTTTGTTTTCTTCATCCCAGGTGAGAAGCCCTATTCCTGCACCTGGCCCGACTGTGACAAGAAGTTCTGCCATTCTGACGAACAGACGCGCCACCTGCGGACTCACACAGGGGAGAAACAGTTCCAGTGCCCACTGTTTGACATGCGCTTCATGCGAAGCGACCACCTGCTCAAGCATGTCCGACTGGGGATGTTGTTCTGTTGTCAACGTCTCTATATCCAACTTGAAGTTATTTTTATTTTTTTTAAGCATGCCCACCAACAACTTTGCTTCGAACCGTCCATGGTCAGCTGTAAGGGGGAGTAGGGTCAGACCATTGGATCACTGGATCTCCACTGTGGGGAAGCAGAGGTGCGGAATAGGAGAGGAAGAAGTTCTGTAGCCATACCCTGCTCCCAGGCCTATCTTAAGACAACTCCTCTGTTGTTGTCATGAATCCATACATATACTGTATGTTTGGCTTGACAAGGACCACACACTGCACAGCAGAGTTGGCTAAAGCACGCATACTACAGATGGGCCCACTACTGTAGCCTACCTCACTGAGCCCTTCTCAGAGAACTTATCAACTTATTTTTTGTGTTATTGAACAATACACACTGGTTGTAATTGAGTGTTTTGTTAAAGGTCCAATGCAGCTGTTTTTATGTCAATATTAAATAATTTCTGGGTAACAATTAAGTACCTTACTGTGATTGTTTTAAATTAAAATGGTCAACAACAAAAAAAGCTTCTTAGCAAAGAGCAATTTCCTAGGACTGTCTGGGAGTGGTCTGAGTGGGGAGGGGAAAACTGAAAACTAGCTTTTATTGGCAGACAGGTTTGGAACTCTCTTTCTTATTGGTATATTAATTAATTTACTGCCTGGTGAAAACTCCATCCCACCAAAACAGGCCGAAATTTCAGGCGGTCTTTTCAAACAGCTATTACATTAAAAGAGCATCATAAGTTTCACAATTTCACAGTATTATTCCAACATTGTGTGGAAATATATATAAAACACAGGAAAATCACGTTTTTGACTGCACTGGACCTTTAATGCAAGGATAATATATATGTCAACCTCAGTTGTTTCTAACTTTTGTAAGTTTATAGCGTTTGGTATACTGGAGTAAATAGTAATATTGCTGTAGAATAGATAGCAATTATTTATGGAATAGTCCTTATATTAGTGAATCTAACTGCTGGTACTGTACTATAGAGATGTTTACCTCTTAAATTGAGCTCTGAGACATGCCATTTTCCAACAATTTCACTTTCTTAATAGGTGTTGTCTGATTAACTTATGGCTGTTAGTGTTATGTCTGGTGGGTTTGTTTCATAACCACGTCTTCATAACAATTCAATAATGATGAGATGGGAGACGGGAATCAGTTCAACCATTTATCTACAATGTGCTCATCTCAACACACACAACTCCCATGATGCTCTGTGGCACAACCCCAATACACCACATACATTTACATTTTAGTCATTTAGCAGACGCTCTTATCCAGAGCGACTTACAGTTAGTGCATACATTTTTTCATGGGAATCAAACCCACAACCCTGGCGTTGCAAACGCCATGCTCTACCAACTGAGCTACATCCCTGCCGGCCATTCCCTCCCCTACCCTGGGCCAATTGTTCGCCGCCCCATGGGTCTCCCGGTCGCGGCAAGCTACGACAGAGCCTGGATTCGAACCAGGATCTCTAGTGGCACAGCTAGCACTGCGATGCAGTGCCTTAGACCACTGCGCCACACGGGAACCCTCATCTCCTCCCCTCTGACTTAAATTGTCCCCATTAGGAACAACTGTCCTGGGAAGGTGACTGTGAGCCCCTAGGTGACGACTGTTGGGTCAGGTTGTCACCCAGTAACCGTTCTGGACCAAATAAAATAAAATGTTATTGGTCACATACACATATTTAGCAGATGTTATTGTGGGTGTAGCGAAATGTTTGTGTTCCTAGCTCCAACCAGTACAGTAGTATCTAACAATTCACAACAATACACAAATCTAAAAGTATAAGAATGGAATTAAGAAATATATAAATATTAGGACGAGCAATGTCGAAGAGGCATTGACTAAAATACTGTAGAATAGAATACAGTATATATAGTTGAAGTCGGAAGTTTACATACACCTTAGCCAAATACATTTAAACTCAGTTTTTCACAATTCCTGACATTTAATCCTAGTAAAAATTCCCTGTCTTAGGTCAGTTAGGATCACCCCTTTATTTTAAGAATGTGAAATGTCAGAATAATAGTAGAGAATGATTTATTTCAGCATTTATTTATTTCATCACATTCCCAGTGGGTCAGAAGTTTACATACACTCAATTAGTATTTGGTAGCATTGCCTTTAAATTGTTTAACTTGGGTCAAACGTTTCGGGTAGCCTTCCACAAGCTTCCCACAATAAATTGGGTGAATTTTGTCCCATTCCTCCTGACAGAGCTGGTGTAACTGAGTCAGGTTTGTAGGCCTCCTTGCTCGCACACGCTTTTTCAGTTCTGGACACAGATTTTCTATAGGATTGAGGTAAGGGCTTTGTGATGGCCACTCCAATACCTTGACTTTGTTGTCCTTAAGCCATTTTGCAACACATTTGGAAGTATGCTTGGGTCATTGTCCATTTGGAAGACCCATTTGCAACCAAGCTTTAACTTCCTGACTGATGTCTTGAGATGTTGCTTCAATATATCCACATAATTTTCCTTCCTCATGATGCCATCTATTTTGTGAAGTGCACCAGTCCCTCCTGCAGCAAAGCAGCCCCACAACATGATGCTGCCACTCCCGTGCTTCACGGTTGGGATGGTGTTCTTCGGCTTGCAAGCCCCCCTTTTTCCTCCAAACATAACGATGGTCATTATGGCCAAACAGTTCTATTTTTGTTTAATCAGACCAGAGGACATTTCTTCAAAATGTATGATCTTTGTCCCCATGTGCAGTTGCAAACCGTAGTCTGGCTTTTTTATGGCGGTTTTGGAGCAGTGGCTTCTTCCTTGCTGAGCGGCCTTTCAGGTTATGTCGACATAGGACTAGTTTTACTGTGGATATAGATACTTTTGTACCTGTTTCCTCCAGCATCTTCACAAGGTCCTTTGCTGTTGTTCTGGGATTGATTTGCACTTTTCGCACCAATGTATGTTCATCTCTAGGAGACAGAACGCATCTCCTTCCTGAGCGGTATGATGGCTGCGTGGTCCCATGGTGTTTATACTTGCGTACTATTGTTTGTACAGATGAACGTGGTACCTTCAGGTATTTGGAAATTGCTCCCAAGGATTAACCAGACTTGTGGAGGTCTACAATTTCTTTTCTGAGGTCTTGGCTGATTTCTTTTGTTTTTCCCATGACGTCAAGCAAAGAGGCACTGAGTTTGAAGGTAGGCCTTGAAATATATCCACAGGTACACCTCCAATTGACACAAATGATGTCAGTTATCCTATCAGAAGCTTCTAAAGCCATGACATCATTTTCTGGAATTTTCCAGGCAGTTTAAAGGCACAGTCAACTTAGTGTATGTAAACTTCTGACCCACTGGAATTGTGATACAGTGTATTATAAGTGAAATAATCTGTCTGTAAACAGTTGTTGGAAAAATTACTTGTGTCATGCACAAATTAGATGTCCTAACCGACTTGCCAAAACTATAGTTTGTTAACAAGACATTTGTGGAGTGGTTGAAAAACTAGTTTTAATGACTCCAACCTAAGTGTATGTAAAGTTCCGACTTCAACTGTACATATGAGATGAGTAAAGCAGTATGTAAACATGATTAAAGTGACTAGTGTTCCATTATTAAAGTGGCCAGTGATTCCATGTCTATGTATATAGGGCAGCAGCCTCAAAGGTGCAGGGTTGCGTAACCGGGTGGTAGCCGGCTAGTGATGGCTATTTAACAGTCTGATGGCCTTGAGATAGAAGCTGTTTTTCAGTTTATCGGTCCCAGCTTTGATGCACCTGTACTGACCTCGCCTTCTGGATGATAGCGGGGTGAACAGGCCGTGGCTCGGGTGGTTGATGTCCTTGACGATCTTTTTGGCCTTCCTGTGACATCGGGTGCTGTAGGTGTCCTGGAGGGCAGGTAGTGTGCCTCCGGTGATAGGTTGGGCAGGCCGCACCACCCTCTGGAGAGCCCTGCGGTTGCAGGCGGTGCAGTTGCCGTACCAGGTGGTGATACAGCCCGACAGGATGCTCTCAATTGTGCATCTGTAAAAGTTTGTGAGGGTCTTAGGGGCCAAGACGAATTTCTTCAGCCTCCTGAGGTTGAAGAGGCGCTGTTGCGCCTTCTTCACCACACTTGCTGTGTGGGTGGACCATTTCAGATTGTCAGTGATGTGTACACCAAGGAACTTTAAGCTTTCCACCTTCTCCACTGCGGTCCAGTCGATGTGGATAGGGGCATGCTCCCTCTGCTGTTTCCTGAACTCCACGATCAGCTCCTTCGTTTTGTTGACGTTGAGGGAGAGGTTATTTTCCTGGGCCCTCACCTCCTCCCTGTAGACTGTTTTATCCTCAAAGCAGGCAAAGGTGTTTAGCTTGTCCGGGAGCAAGACATCGGTCTCCGTGACGTGGCTGGTTTTCCCTTTGTAATCAATGATTGCCTGTAGACCCTGCCACATACGTCTCGTGTCTGAGCCGTTGAATTGCCACTCCACTTTGTCTCTGTACTGCCATTTTGCCTGTTTGATTGCCTTGCGGAGGGAATAACTACACTGTTTGTATTCGACCATATTCCCAGTCACCTTGCCATGGTTAAATGCGGTGGTTTGCACTTTCAGTTTTGCGCGAATGCTGTCATCTATCCACGGTTTCTGGTTTGGGTAGGTTTTAATAGTCACCATGGGAACAACATCCCCTATACACTTCCTGATGAACTCAGTCACCGTGTCCATGTATACGTCAATTTTATTCTCAGAGGCTACCCGGAACATATCCCAGTCCGCGTGATCAAAACAATTTTGAAACATGGATTCCGATTGGTCAGACCAGCGTTGAATAGACCTTAGCACGGGTACTTCCTGTTTGAGTTCCTGCCTATAGGAAGGGAGGAGCAAAATGGAGTCGTAATCTGATTTACCGAAGGGAGGGCGGGGGGGGGGCCTTGTAGGCATCTCGAAAGGGGGAGTAGCAGTGGTCTAGTGTTTTTCCAGAGCGAGTACTACAGTCAATGTGTTGATAGAACTTTGGTAGTGTTTTCCTCAAATTTGCTTTGTTAAAATCCCCAGCTACAATAAATGCGGCCTCAAGATATGTGGTTTCCAGTTTGCATAAAGTCCAGTGTAGTTCCTTGAGGGCCGTCGTGGTATCG